TTCATTGAAATAAGAGACACTTGGCCACCACCTGACCACCAATTTTACAAGCCTGGTTTTATCTGTCTTCCACCTCTCTCCTCCTGCTGGTTCCAGTTCCTATCAACATTTAGGCATGTTCAAATAGCCTTATCTTACAAACAACAATAAAAAATCCCAACCTTCCCTCAATCCTCCGTCACCTTCCTGCTGTGGCCCTGTATCTTTCCTGCCAGTTATATTCACACTTCTGGAAAGTTGTCTACACCTGCTATCTCCACTTTCTCACCTCCCGTTCACTCTACAACCCCAGGCAGCCTGGCTTCTGTCCCTACCACTCCCTGCAACCACTCGTCAAGGTCACCAATGACTTCCTTGTAGTTTGATCCAAAGGACTTGTTTCAGATCTTATCTTGACCTTTAAGGCCCGTGACTCAGCCTTGCTCAGCACCCCTCCTTTCTTGCAGCAGTCTTACCCATTGGTTTCTACAGCACCCTGGTTTCCCGGTTTTCCCCCTCCTGCTCTGGCTACTTCAAAGTTTTCTTGAAACTGCCGCATTCTCCCCCTCCAAGGGTGATCCATCTGGCTTCGCGGGTAAGACTGTGTGCCAGGAATGGTGTTCCCTCCTCCCAACGCATTCCTTGCAGAAACACCTGGGGATTTGCTTTCTCACCCGAGATCCGCACTGTTGCATTTTGAACTCCAGTTTGCTCCGTGGATCCCGCTGCTCGGAGCCTGACATGCCTTCGAGGGTGTGTATTTATCACTGCCACTTTGAGAAGCTCTCACAACACTTGGACATCTGTTTTTTTCATTTCTCCCCTTAAAGGCAGGCTGCATTAGGGAAGGACACTGATGAATTAGAGTGGATGGGAGAGGCTGCAGAGTGGTCAGAAAACAGTGTCCTATGGGAAATCATTAAGATAACTGGGAATATTTTGCCCAGAAGAGATACAACTGAGGGATGATAGAGGACAAGTTTCAAAAATCTGAAGAGGCACAGAGCCTCGATCTGGGCTGCTGTGTAGGGTTGGGTTTCGGCCACCTGCAGACCTAACAGAGGGGAGTTTTGAATGGACGTAGAGGAGTTCCACTGTATTACAGAAGGTTCCAGACCTCCTGGATACAAGGTGAGTGAGACAGTCCTGCCCACCAGGAACTACTAAATGACGATAAGCTTAGACCTAAGTGACCACAATAACACTGGAAGATGTCCCTGCTTATCCTCTCCTGAAGACCCCCGGCCTAAGCTCAGCTGACAACATAGAAAAGCCGCCCTCCAGCGAGGGCCACTTCAAACTTCCTGCCATGCAAGGGCCATCAGAAGCTCTGCAGACACAGGCCGGGAGCGGTGGCTCACTCCTGTAATCCTAGCACTTTGGGAGGCTGAGGCGGGTGAGTCACCTAAGGTCAGGAGTTGGAGACCAGTCTGGCCCACATGGTAAAACCCCTTCTCTACTAAAAATACAAAAATATTAACCAGGTGTGGTGGTGAGTGCCTACAATCCCAGCTACTTAGGAGGCCGAGGCAGGAGAATTGCTTGAACCTGGGAGGCGGAGGTTGCAGTGAGCTGAGATCGCAGCACTACACTCCAGCCTATGCAACAGAGCCAGACTCCATCACACACACACACACACACACACACACGCTCTGTGGACTGAAGCAAAATTCAGGAGGAAGGCTTGGAAAGCACCTCACCATCCACTCTTGTAGATGCTCCAAAATGTACCCCAGGCCAGTGTGTGGCTAGCTGAGCACCCCAATTTGCTTCTTTTCCCTCTCTCCTTGATGGAATGTCTTTTCCTGACTTGGGTTTTGGTATACTTTCAGGGAATCACAGACATTGTCCTACAGAGCTCACTGTTGTGACTGGAGGGACGTTTGCTCATTACCCCACACTGTGTTCCCTTTCTGAGCCAACCCCACCCAGGAGAAATTCCTATCTGATTTTAGTACCAAGAATAGTTGTAATTTGTTTGAGCAGTAGGTCTGTTTTTATCTCATGGACCCTGGGAATTGTGTAATGAACATGGTCTCCTTTACATTTTAGCTGCAGGAAAGCTTAGGGACAAATCTGTGGCCCACCCAGCGGAGGGGACGAGGGCATTCCAGGGTGCATTGTACCTGTAGTCTCATCTCGATTTTGTCTCCTTTCTTGGTTTTTCTTTGTTCTCTTACTTCATATTTTACTGTGCAAAATTGACACCATACATGCAAAGATTCTTAAAAAATCACCTGTAATTGATTCACTGTTCTGAGATAACCACTATTAACTGTGTTGTCTTTTTATGCATACTTTTAAAAAAATAAAAATGAGATTATACTGTGTATGTTTTTAATTTGCTTTTTTCATTTTATAATGTCATAAACATCTTTCCCGGAAGTTGTGTTCTTTAAATGATTTGAAATTTCTGTATAGATTGAACAATCTCATACTAACAGCTAACATTTCTATATGCATGTACCTCGTGTCTGGCTTTACGCCTATTTACATTTGCATGTATAAGAAAGCATATTGATATGTGTTACTGAACTGCAATATGTATGTATATATCTCATCAGCTATAATATTCAAGGGTGTAAGTTGGGCGCGGTGGGTCATGCCTGTAATCCCAGCACTTTGGGAGGCTGAGGCGGGTGGGTCAACTGAGGTTGGGGGTTCAAGACCAGCCTGATCAACAGGTAGACACCCTGTCTCTACTAAAAAATACAAAAAAATTAGTCGGGTGTGGTGGCACATACCTGTAATCCCCGCTACTCGGGAGACTGAGGCAGAAGAATCACTTGAACCAGGGAGACAAAGGTTGCAGTGAGCTGAGATTATGACATTGCATTCCAGCCTGGGCAAAAAGAGTGAAACTCTGTCTCAAAAAAAAAATTCAAGTGTGTCAGCTCACGTGATGCTTACAGCCCAGTGGGGTACATAGTATTATCTCCCTTGTACAGATGGAGGAAGCTAAGGTACAGACTTGCCATCGTCACACAGCAGAGGCAGAATTTGAACCCAGGTACCCCAGCTGCAAAGCATTTCCTCCTAAGAGCTACGCTGCCTTTCGGTATACCATTGCGATTTCACAGGCCACCATGTTAACCATTTCATTTATTTCCTTTGACCTCACTTTTAGTTTATGTGATTTTGTCATATTTTATGTACCTCTGTAAGTCACCTAAAATCCTTTCTGCCCCAAGGCGAGGCAAGGCATAAATAAACAGTGCAGAGTGTGGTAAACGGCACAAGAAGACAAAGCTACAGTGCTATCCGGGGGTGAGAAGATGAATCAAGGCTGTTCTGCAATGGAATGGATTGATTTTCTTGGGGTATGGTGAGCTCCCATCCCGGGAAGAACTGGCTTGGGTGGCCGTCTGTCCAGGAGACTGGGAAAGGCCTTCTTCCAAGGAGACCGAGCTGGGCCAGACGAGCCCAGAGGCCTCTTTTTAGATTCTCAGGGCTTATGAAAATGCCAATAAGACAAAATGAGGCACTTAATGGAGCTAAGGCAGCAAGGCAGCCCTTGGGCCAGAACCAGGACCTGGGGCTTTTCATCTGGGTCTATTACTGGACCACACATCTGCAAGTAACAAATAAACCAGCTGAGATTTGGTTCCAAAGTCGTGACCCAGTGTATTTCCTTTCCCAGAGCTCTCTGGCTGCTGTTGCAAGATGGCCAAAGAATGGTCACTGTCCTTAGTCTTTTTTGATGGAGAATGAGGCAAAGAGAGGCCGGGTGGCCCCGCAGATGCCCCATGACACCATCATTTGGTAGGGTTATCTAATTGACAAGTGCCCTGAGTGGAAAGAGCCCAGGCTTCTCTTCCTGGGTTTGATGTTTACTTGGGGATTGATCTTGAGCGAGTTTCTTTAGCTCCCGGAACCCTCAGTTTTCTCATCTGCAAAATAGAGTTAATACAACATCAAAGCTGTAGTGGTGGTCCCATGAAATAGTACAGAGCGTTGCACCCTTAAAAATGCAGTCGAGGAAGTACCAAAACGCCTGCCTCAGGGGATCTGGGGAGGGCTGGGCTGTCCCCATGCCTGACGCGAGGCAGGCCCGTCTTGGAGGGGCGGTGGCCAGCGTCCAAGTGCTGCCGTCTTCCTACCCTTTCAACCTCCTGCCCACTGCAGCTCCCCTGACCAGAAAGAAGCAGCGTTCCCGACAGACAGGCTCAAGCACGGTGACATCCGTAGGGGTGCGGGCGAGCAGCCCCTCCTCATTGGACCCCAGGGGCTTCGGGCAAGAATGGAGAGCAGGCAGAGGTCACATCCTCCTCCTCTTCCTCAAGCTCTCGGGCTGCGTGCCCGCAGGGGCACGGCCCTGTGCGCGGTGGCACCAGGGCCATCGGGCTGGGGTAGAGGAAGGCCCGACCTCTGCGCAGCAAAGAAAACAAACACAGATGTGTTTGGCTGGGACTGGGAGGGAGAAAGTGGCCCCCTCCTCCCGCCCGCGCGCTCCCTCGGGCGCGGGGCTCTCCGGGCGGCGCGGGGTCCGGGCGAGGCTGACAGTCCCCTGCGGCCCCTCCTCCCCCCACGGGGTGCGCGCCCGGCCCGGCCCGGCCCAGCCCCCTCTCCGGGGTTTCCCCGGGCGCTCTCTAGCTTTCTCTTTGTCTCTGCTGCTCTTTCTCGGGCTCCCGGGTTCCCACCCGCCCGTGCTCTCCCTCTCGGGCGTCCCGGGCCGGTTCCCTTTAACTTTCTTCTTTCCCGGGGTGAAAACTTTGCTCGGAGCTGGCGGTAGCTCGCGGACGTTATTGGCCGGCGCCCCGCCCGGCGGCCCCGCCCCCCGCCCCCGCGCTCCCCTCCGCCCCTCACTCCCAGCGCGAGTGGCGGCGGCGGCGGCGGAGCCTTCGGGGGCGAGCGCGCGTGTGTGTGAGTGCGCGCCGGCCAGCGTGAGTGTGTGCGCCCCGGGCGCGGGCAGGGCAGCACTCCGAGCGCGGCGGGAGCGGCGGGAGCCGGGCGGCCGCGTCGTCACTCGGGCGAGAGAGGCGGCGGCGGCGGCGGCGGCGGGGCCGGGGCCGGGGCAGCGGCGGCCGCGCTGGGCATGGAGCTGGCAAGCCCGCGCTGAGGCGGGACGCGACTGCTAGCAGCCAGCGAGAGGCTCTCCGGCGACCGGCGCGCGGGCTCCCCGGCGGGGCCAGGCAAACTTTTCTTTCTCTTTTGCCCCTTCCAGAGGTAAAGTCCCAAGCGCGGACTTTCCGGCGGGGAACGCAATCGGGGGCAACTGAGTGGGACCCCGGGCTGCGGGAGGAAGGGGAGCGGGCCGTTGTGGGGTCGGGGTCCCCCAGCTCTCCTGCGCCCGAAACTTGGGGTGCGAGGTGGGCTGGCCGCGGACGGGCAGACCGGCTTGGGCATGCCCCTCGGGGGCATGGAGGCGACGGTGGCGGGGAAGCGGAGCGTTCTCCCGCCGCCCCGGCTCGCCGCCTGCGGGGGAAGAAGGGGCGCGAGCGGTGCGGGCTTGGAGAGCCCCGGACTCGCCGCCCTCGGGACTTTGGGGCAGAGAGGCGGGCGGGCGGCTGCGGGGTTGGTGCCCAGGAAGCTGGGCGTTCGCCCGCGTCCCCGCTCGCCACCCCGCCGAGAGCTGAAGGGCGCGGGGCGGGCTGGCTGAGCGCAGCTCCCTTCTCTCCGCAGGCGCCTTCTGTGGCAGGCGGACCGATCCTCGGCGTGGCGGGGCCGGGGCAGGCTGGACGCAGCATGATGCGCGCAGTGTGGGAGGCGCTGGCGGCGCTGGCGGCGGTGGCGTGCCTGGTGGGCGCGGTGCGCGGCGGGCCCGGGCTCAGCATGTTCGCAGGCCAGGCGGCGCAGCCCGACCCCTGCTCGGACGAGAACGGCCACCCGCGCCGCTGCATCCCGGACTTTGTCAATGCGGCCTTCGGCAAGGACGTGCGCGTGTCCAGCACCTGCGGCCGGCCCCCGGCGCGCTACTGCGTGGTGAGCGAGCGCGGCGAGGAGCGGCTGCGCTCGTGCCACCTCTGCAACGCGTCGGACCCGAAGAAGGCGCACCCGCCCGCCTTCCTCACCGACCTCAACAACCCGCACAACCTGACGTGCTGGCAGTCCGAGAACTACCTGCAGTTCCCGCACAACGTCACGCTCACGCTGTCCCTCGGCAAGAAGTTCGAAGTGACCTACGTGAGCCTGCAGTTCTGCTCGCCGCGGCCCGAGTCCATGGCCATCTACAAGTCCATGGACTACGGGCGCACGTGGGTGCCCTTCCAGTTCTATTCCACGCAGTGCCGCAAGATGTACAACCGGCCGCACCGCGCGCCCATCACCAAGCAGAACGAGCAGGAGGCCGTGTGCACCGACTCGCATACCGACATGCGCCCGCTCTCAGGCGGCCTCATCGCCTTCAGCACGCTGGACGGGCGGCCCTCGGCGCATGACTTCGACAACTCGCCTGTGCTGCAGGACTGGGTCACGGCCACCGACATCCGCGTGGCCTTCAGCCGCTTGCACACGTTCGGCGACGAGAATGAGGACGACTCGGAGCTGGCGCGCGACTCGTACTTCTACGCGGTGTCCGACCTGCAGGTGGGCGGCCGGTGCAAGTGCAACGGCCACGCGGCCCGCTGCGTGCGCGACCGCGACGACAGCCTGGTGTGCGACTGCAGGCACAACACGGCCGGCCCGGAGTGCGACCGCTGCAAGCCCTTCCACTACGACCGGCCCTGGCAGCGCGCCACGGCCCGCGAGGCCAACGAGTGCGTGGGTGAGTGGGGTGCGGCGTCGGAACCGGCGGGGGCTTGCAGTAGCGCGGGTCGTGGGAACGGTGGGAGGTGCGTTCACGGATGCCCGGGACCCGAGAGGGCTGAGAGCAGGTCCCCTCGCTCGCGTGGCGCTCGTTGTGGACGCCGGATTTTGCGCCCAGTGCCCTCTGCCAAGCCATGAAACAGCAGGAGAAATGTTGCCGGGAGGGGGTTGGCAGAGCATTTGCAGACAGGTCTCCCTAACCCTGAATCCAAACGCAAACATTCCTTTCCTTACCACCTCGTTGAGCTAGACGCTGGGATTCACCTCCACCCACCCACCCCTTTCCCACGGCTGCAGCTGGACTCGCGGTTGGGGACCCCGGCCCAGTTCCCAGGAAGCACCAGCTCCACACCTACAAATCCCTTGGGAAATGGCAAAGAACTGCTTGCGGTTTGGGGTCAGTTCAGTACCCGGCGAATATCACTCCTGCCTTCCATTTGCCTTGTTATGATTTGAAACAATTTTTTTTTCTCTTTTGAGCAGCGTGTTTTTGTTAGCAAAAGAAGAGTGATGTGATTTCAATTAATTACTATCTACCGATTACAAAGGAGCGTTCAGTAATTATTTTAAACGAATTCAATTCCCGTCTAAAAAAGTATACCCGATTTTGTTGTTGTTGTTAGCTTCAGGCTTTGGTGAAATTAAACAGTTTTGAATTAACTAAGGGTCCAGCTTCTCGCTTTTTAAATAGGGTTTCATTTCCTGAAAGAGAAATCTGACAAAACCGGGTGAATACGGCTGGGTCAGAAATGAGGCTAAAAAAGCAGACCTCCTTGTGAATTGCACGACTTTGCTGCTGCAGAAGCTCTCAGGAATCAGTTTCTCCCCAGAAAAAAAAAAAAGAAGAAAAAGCAGTGTGGGGGGAGGGTAGGTAGGAAGACTACACCTTACTTTTCAGTATGGGAAGTAAAGTTCCAAATCCCACATTTATTTCAGTGAAGATTATTCAGTCTGTAAATGTAGCATTTGGTGTGCATCTTTTGTGAACGTACACATTTTTTCTCCCTCTCTCCCCACCTCCAACAGCCAGTGTGAGTCTCTTCAATTGCTTTGCCCTTTGAGGCACATTGCAGTTTGCTGGTCCCCACAAACACACGTTTTGAGGCCTGGTTCTGATTAATTGTGTCATGTTGTTGTCGAATAGTTTGTGCCTCATGACTGCGGATGCAGACTTTGGAGCAAGGGAATGGAAAACATGTCTTGGAGGGCCGGGTGACTGCAGAGGCCCAGTCAGGCGTCCTGGTCTGAAGACGCCCGGCCTCCCCGCCTGCGGTTGCACAGCAAGGCCTCCATTTTCACACTCGTGTCCCACTCTTGCAGACCTGATTGTTTGTCCCCTTTTGAGGGTCAGAACTAGTTTCCAAGTCTGAAGACACTTTTCAAGATTTCGCAGAGAGACACACAGGGAGAGAGAGAGTAGTTACACTCGACTTAGTGGTCTTCTAGAATAAAATTCCTTTGATCTGCTCAATTCCCTCAGAAATGTTGGTTTTTCCCATCTCTTCTCTTCCCCCTCCTTCCTCTTTTCTTTTCTTCCTTTTGTGCGTAAAAGCCCTTTATTGACATTTAAAGGGATTCCCAGGGTTTTGCTATCAGTTTTAGTTTGTATGTGCATATGAAAGATAACTCTGTGTTATCACCAGCAGGGTCTAATTGGACAAATGAAAGTGAGTACATTTAAGCGAATAAACTTGATGTGGTGGTGAAATTTCACTGGCTTGAAGATTTGTCTTAGCGTTGGTATTGTTCAGGTTCACCACCCACCCCCCAGGTCTTGCTGTCACTTTGGATGTGGACACGTAACCTGCGTTTGTTGTAACGATGGTCATACCCTTGAAATAATCTCTATAGTTTAGGATTTTGTCTTTTGACCAAAGCACTAACTAGGCACACAAATTGGATTGACCTTTTTTTTTTTATTGGCTAAATTGAGCAATCAACATAGTAACTAATGTAATTAGTAACCTTTTTTGTTCAAAAAGTTTAATTAGGCTTAATAAGTACATAATCTACATGACAAATGATTGGCTAACAATATTTTTCTGGGTTTTACTGAAGTTATTTTAATTCCCAGTAGTTAAAGTATCTTTAAATCTTGCCAATTATTCAGTCATCTCATAAAAGCAAAGCCAATTCAACTATGTTAAAGTTATTTATAGTTTCCTTTTTGAATAGACGTTCTGATACCTTGTAGATATAGCTGGGAACATCAGATTGAAGTTCCCATAAAGTCTTAATTGAAGTCTTAGTGATTTTTCCATCATTCTGTAAAAGAGAAAGACAGCAGGGACAATTTAGGGGTGATTTACAATTAAAGGTCGAGCTTTTTATGAAAAGGCCCTGTAGTGGAGACATGTGAATGAATTAGTATTTGACAGGTGTTCTCAGATACTAAAGGGCACTGTGCTAGGAAAAAGCATTAATAAATCCTTCAAAAGTAACTTTGTACTATCAGAGACTCAGATTTTCCTCCCAGCATAATCTCTTCTTGTGAATTTCACACTGTTGACACATAAAGTCAAGCTACCCAGAGTATTTACAACTACGGAAAAGTAAAGAAGTATATATTTTTAATTCCTATAATCAGTTTTAATAACACTGAGCCTATTACTGTGTTTTGGTTTTTGCTTTTATAAAATAATGAGACATGATTTGTAATAAATTAAAATGGTATCCTTCCCTAGGTTAACCCTGTGCACCCCCCAAAGAAACCCTAAAATTTACAGATTTGTCACTATTGTCATTTGACTAGCAGTCCTTCGACATAGGGCCACCGTACTCGTAGATTACTAAGGAATACACATATCCCATATGTTTTCTTCGGTCCAGTTTTCTTTTCAGTGTTGTTTCAAGGTCAAGCTCTCTATGGAATAAAATATGAACTTTTGTAAAGCCCAATTATATTTTAAATACAATTTTTGGATTTCTTCCGGGGGAAGGGGGAAACAACCCTCAAAACAATATGATAGGCAAGAGTATGTATAACGTTACAGCCTTGACAGCTCTCAGTGGAAAAACTAAATACTTTTCGCCCATATGTATCAGCAGTATTCACATGCTTTTATACACATGTGCATTTACATTCATTGTGTAAAGAGGCACCCATGCATGGTGGGGGTGTGTGTACATTCAAGGCAAAATGCATGAACAGTTTTAAACCACCTGGGTTGCTAGGCCCTTCCCCCTCCTTCCCTTTTTTCAAAAGAGCATCTGAAGACCATATTGTGTTTCATAAATTATTGACATTAGTTTTAATCATTGTCCGCCTGACGTAGGAACTGTGTTAGTATTTAGTGCCTGATGAAGCATGCTGTTTAATCTTACTGTGGAGTTGTCAGCATGAGCCCCCACTTGGCTTGTGACAGGTTGAGCTTATGAAAACTTGTTTTGCGACTCACTCTGTGGCTTTGCATTGCCCAGCTGTAACCCAAAACCCACACGGAAGATGTCTCTGCAAGATGAACACAAGAAGATGTGCTGGGTCGGCCTCCTATGGTCATAGATACCTGCAATATAATGCTCGTAATTCTTTGAACATGGCTTTGGGTTGGGGATGGAGGGGATGTCCTCATGCTGTCAATAGCTCAGGTGCTTGGGTCCACCCTCATTCATCCCTGGCAAGAGATAGAGGTTATATTGGAGGTGTTGCTGTGAGAAATCCAATGCCCCACTGAAGACTCTTGCAAAATCAGAAGGCTAAAATTATTTGCTGCTTAGTCCGGAGCCTGGCACATAGCTATAGATGAGTGAATGTTTTTAATAGTTATAGTAGGCTGGGCGTGGTGGCTCACGCCTGAAATCCCAGAACTTTGGGAGGCTGGGGTGGGTGGGTCACCTGAGGTCGAGAGTTCAAGACCTGACCAAAATGGAGAAACCCCGTCTCTACTAAAAATACAAACATTGGCCAGGCGTGGTGACGCATGCCTGTAATCCCAGGTACTCAGGAGGCTGAGGCAGGAGAATCCCTTGAACCTGGGAGGCGGAGGTTTGCTTGAGCCAAGATCACCTCACCGTACTCCAGCCTGGGCAACAAGAGTGAGACTCTGTCTCAAAAAACAAAAATAGTCATAGTAATTATTACAATTATTGTCATTATGATGATTAACCCTTGAGGACTTACTCTTTGCCAAGCACTCATGTTCATTTAGTCATTTAATCACTGATTATGCTAATAATAGGGACGATGATTGTATTTCTTTTAGAGATGGGGAAACCATGGCCTAGAAACATTAGATGGTTTACCCAAAGTCACATGGCTACTAGGTGGTGGAGCTGAGACTCCAGCCTGATGTTTGTGCTTTGTTCTGTTGCATCCACTGTGCTGCCTTTCCATAGGACGAATGGATGGGTGGATGGAAGAAAGGATGAATGAATGAATGAATGAATGGCAGTGATACATCCATGTGTAGGTGGAAAGCTGGAACAACCTATTACTTCTTGCTAGAACTGGGAGTGGTTCCCTAGTTGTGTTGCATTATATATTTCACATTATATTTTATTTATTATATTATATTCATATATACTTAACATGAAGTTGTATATAAGAAGTTTTCTTTTATCTTAGCCATCAGGCCTGCTGGGAGCTGGAAGTTAGGCCTATGAATTAAGGGGGTTTAAATACTTCCTGTGGGTTCTTGGCATATCCACCGGTGTTGCTACTGGCCAAGTTTTTCTTGATATCAGGGCCTGTGAGCTCCCTCAAAGGTGGCGAAGCCGAGCTGGGGGTAGTCAGAACTCCTTTTTTAAGAAGGCCTTCTCTTTTCACCCTTGTATTCACCATCCCTTTGCTTCACCAGAACGTATTGAAAAAATCCAAGAAGTGGCTGAAAGTATTGTTGCCGAAGAGAGGAGGTGGATGGGGGATGGTATGACCCGGCCGGTCACTGGTGTGGTGCTGCTAGGTACAGTTTACATGAGTCAGCAGCACAAGGCTGTCATTCATCTCTACTGGCTCCATGG